TGGTTTGTTGTGTGTGTTTGTGGTGTGTTACGTTTTTTATTTCGCCGTTTTTGTTTTTGTTCATGCGCACACTGAAAAAGGTTCTAAGTAATGGACGGGAGCGCCAGCAACAACAACCACTTAGAATGATAAAACAAACACAGAAACAAACAGGAGATACAGCAACAACAACAACGACTGTAACTCGGAGAGCACACGCACACCACTGCCAAACAAAAACAAAAAGTGGGTGGTGGTGGGGCCAAGGGGAGGAAATAAGGGGTGGAGGGTCAGGGCTGTTCGTCTCCCTCGCACTCGCACGACATTGACTTTGAAACACATTTGACGGCCCCAGGCAGAAGAAGAAGAAGAAGGGGAACAACTCGTGATCACGACTGAAAAGCAGAAGCAGCAACAACAATGAGATAAGCAACATGCAGACCATAACCAAAAAACTACAACAACTTTTTCGCTCACAGTGCTGATAGCTTTGGTTAAACAATTTACAGTTCTAAAAATCAACAATAATTTCAAAAGCGTTCGTCCAAAACGGTTTTGAAGTTGTCTTGAAAAACATTTTTAAAAAAATGACACTTGAACAAATACTAGGGCCATTACCTTATAAATTTTTTAAATATAAGGCGAATAGTTTTGGGTGTATAATTAGAAGGTGCCAAAATCGTAGCTAAATCGCACAGGAAACCAAAAAATCACGAACATTTTACATAATTTGTAGCTATAAAAGTAGCTATTTTTCCCGCTGGACAAAGGTCATCACCGTTTGCCCATTCATGTGCTCCCGCCAGGTAATTAGCATTTCTGTCTCTTACCATCTCTCTCGCGCGCACAAGCAACATGACAACCTAATTCACCACGCCAGAGCGAGCACAAAGGTTAGTGAACTGTGCTCCTCTCACTCCCTTCACCCCTTCCCCAACACTCATTACTCACACGTGTGCTTGATTGTTTGCTTGTGTGGGTAGGCATATTTCAATGCCAAGGTGACGGCCTCGCCACACAATCTCCCCCTCTCTTTCCAATCGCGACTGTCCTCCGTTCGTCTCGCTCGCTCTTGCGGTGAATAAGTCAACCTCCTACACTTTGCTGCTCTACTGTTACCGTTAAAACTTAAACTTAAAACAGTTCAAACATTTTTTACAACACAAAAATCGGCGCCAGAGGAGCGCGAACCGCAACGTATCCACCATTATCGCATTGAATCCCATTCAATCCACTCGGCAAACTCACTCGCCACACCGGCCACGCCCCAAAAAGGGGGACGGAGGATAAGAGTACGATTACGAGTACGAGTGAGTGAATAGTGTGAATGCCTTATATTCGTAGCGGTTTTGTGAATTTTGTAATAGGCCAACAGAATTTCGAGATGGATACTGGGATGGCCTGTGTGGGCACGAAAGAGATGAATATATGCCGCAATGTTTGCTCAGGGCTCGTTATGCTCTGCTTTAATTTCTGGTCGCCTGTTAACTGTTTTAGTTAAAGAGCAATCCATTTTGTTTTGCCCCATGAAAAGGAGTAGCGCCAATGTTCTGTCCCCATCGCAATCGCACACACACTATTGCCATCTCAACTGGCACGCAGCAAAGTTCCGGGGGCAAAAATGCGAGAAAGAGTGCGAAAAAAGGCAGCAGATGCAGCGGAGTTGTTTTTGGACAACCCTATATAGGTTATCTATTACTATTTTTCCCTTTAAATATAACTTAAATTATTTAAATACCAATTTTAAAGCTTTATTTCCCCTGCAGTGATTAATTATTATTTTGCTACTTAAGCTTAAAGCGCATTTGCACAAAAGCTGAACAACCATTTCTTTTTCAATCTTTCAGTGGGAATTGCAAGAACTTGACTTGTTGTCAAAGCTTGGAATTTGAATAAAGAATTACGAGATAGCAACTCTTTTCCTTATAGTTATTCAGTAATTTAATATTATCTTTTCGCTTTATTTTAAAATTTTTCTTTTAATTTAGCAAACTTTTATCAAGATGTGCTTGATTTTTCTCTAAGCTAGGGATTTGGGGATTATTTTTGTGGTGGAAATATAACATTTTTCATGTTTGTGCGTATTTCGTTTTCGAATTCATTATCGATACATTACAATTAAGAGCCTTAAAAAATTCATTTATTTTCCTATCATTCATTGGTCACCCAAAAAAGGGGCACAAAAAGTTTTGGATGATCTTGCCCCACATTAATTTATGATATGTGGATTGATAAATTAAATACAAATTATTCCTTTGCCATATCGAAGCTTAAAAGAAATACTGTGCAGTCACAATAAAAACGCCTTCTCCCAAATTATATTTATTATTTAGGGTTCTTTCTAAACCCACCATTTAAGGAGCTTGGTTTTCTTAGAACTGAACAAAAGGATCATGAACAAATTTCTTTAAGGATTACGTAATTGAAAAGAAAGGTACTACCAATGTTTTAAGAACTTCATCAACAATTTTTGACACGCTCCCAACTCTAGTTCTGTTTATTTATGCTGGATGATTCGAGGCTCCCCGCGCAACCCCTCTCATCATTTTGGCTTTTTGATAAAACTTTCAATCCGCAAAGCACGAAAAAAGCATTAACAAGCGCTTTCTGTGTGTGTGAGGTGCTTTTGATTTAATAAACTTTAATCCATAGATAATATCATATAATAAATAGTTCTTAAGAAAAGATTCATATGTACATATGTATGTCCTTAATAAGAAATCGATCAGCCTTGAAAACTTCTGTGTCTGTATTTTTGTCAAAACTATTTGTATCCAGGGATCTTAAATGATCTTTCCAGTTCTTGCCATTCTGAAATCATTGGAACTTGCAGGTTTCAAATCTATTGTATAACGTTTTTAGGTTTCTTTAATATTTTAAATTGCCTTGTTTTTTAATAACTTTTATACTGCAAGGCTTTCAGTTAAAGTTCTTATTGTGCTTCTTGATTGCCCTAGAACTTTTAAATACTCACTCGACTCGAGGGGCAATGCAAGAGGGACGGAACCCCTCTTTTTGAGTGATGCAGCTTGCAGAACAAGTTTAGAACTTAAACTTTGAAAGAGGGAGACCACAGGAACGTCAACCCCCCGGAAAGGGAGTCAGAGAGAGAAAGGGCTAGCGGTACAATGGGACCCCTAAGGTAGCGAACCTGAGAAGAAACCGAGAATGTGTCCAAAGTCTCCCCCCTTTCTTTCCCTTCGCCCCCATATCATTTGCTATTTTAATAAAAGCACTCGGAGGTGAACTTGACAGATTTAACTTTTTTCAAGTTTCGGAATACCGAAAAGCGGCCGCCTCGCAACTTTGGCAAGTTAATTTAGCAATGGAATGGAAGCTACAGTTTTGAAAGTTCTTTTGCTGGGCGCTGAAAATCGGCGATGGCTTTAGGAGGGCGATACGACATGTATTTGCTTTGTTTTGAAACAGGTCGATGATGCTTGAGGGTTTCAAGGGGAGTGGGGGGTCAACCGATCCGAGCGTAAGCGTTTTATATACAATTTTTTGTTCGACCGAGAGAGCTTAAACAGCTTTTTAGTGGGCACATTATACAAAAGAATTTATTTATTGGCCTGCTGCAATGATTGTGTAAACAAATTGAGTAACCGCAATCAGCAAGTCAACGAGATTTTTAAATTTATCAGTCAATTATAGTTATATTTAGTCTTAATTATAGTTATTTCTTAAAAGTAACTAGCTTGAAAATATCTTAAGATAATGGTAATTACTCATCTTATGACTTTCTAAAAAAGATTATAATTATCACTAGTGCAATTAATAAGCAATTTGGCATATAATGACTACCAAGATTGACTTTCGGAGGTTCCAAAAGTGTTAGGTTGTAATGTTTAATTATTTAACATGCCACGCTAAGCCATGATTTATTCATAATTAAACATGAGAACCAAAAGAGAACGCTTGTAATTACACTTAAATTAATTAATATAATTTTATACTTGTAGAAGAACCTAAAATTTTTTTCTATAGTTATAATACCAAAGTTTGATATTAGGAAAAAAAGTTTTTTAAAAAATGGAATACTATTATAACGATTAACTATTCTAGTTCTTAATTGCATCTTTATAAAATCCTTAGCATTTTCCTTACGATAATTTTTTTAAGAAACATCAAAATATTCAGAATAATCCTCCAAAAAATCACCAAAGATGAACCTCAAACCCAACCTACTTTTTTCAAATCCCTTCGAGCTCTCTTTTCGCGCGTCTACAAATTGCACATATAACGAAACGGAAGCAGTTTTTTCAAAGAAATTGCACAACTCATTCGGTGTAGAATTATTGTAATCCCCACCAGGCGCACAGAAACCGTTAGTTGGCGGATATCCCCAAGTGTCTTCGGAGTGCTTTTCGCCGCAAGCGCTTTCCGCAACGAGTGCGAGCGGGATGGCTGCTGTGCGCAGCTTTTGCCGCACCCCACTTATAAGTGTAGCCATCTCGCTCGCACCCAGTGTTGCATTGGCGCTCGGCCGTAAATACGAATAGTGCAGAAAAGACGCCAAATCACTGCCTGCTTTGCCTGAGCGCCTGATGAAAAATTCACAAAAAGCCAAAATAGCGCGGAACATACAATTTTTTCTCGAACGGCGAATCACGACGCAACTCTAAAATCCGGCAGTTGGTATTCAAAGTTTTAAATGAATTGAGGAAATTCCGAATTGGGAAAATAGTTTTGAATAAAAAGATTATATTCGTTTTTGGTACTTTAATTTTTAATAAATTAAATCACGCCATTTGCTTTAGAAAAGGTTTGCTTTTAATGATTTTAGGTATTCGTCGCACTTTTGAATTTGTAACGTGCGTCGCAGCCCGCCAAATTCAAAATTTGGGTTGGTATAAGGAAAAAAGGTACAAAAGTGAAATAATAAGAAAACAATAAAAAATTATAACAAAACTTAAAAAAAAATTTTATTTAATATATCTTGAGAAAGAAAAATAAATACAGTTTTTATTTTTTATTTATTTCTTAAACTTGACAACTCTTTAAGTGCATTTCTCTTGCATTCCCTTTTTCTTAAAATCATCTGTGAACAATTCTATTTTTATCTGTTATTAGAAATTGCAGCAAGTCAATTGCAATTCTTTAATTGTCGCACTTTTGGAGGTGAGTGTTTTTTAAAGTATTAAATTAACTGGAATACCATTAAAAAGCTTTTTTTGTTTAAAAAAAGTAATGTTAAGTTAAGTGATTTGGATTTTTAAGTAAAAAGTTTGTACTTTGATATATTCAACAGTTACATAACAAATCCCAGCAAAAATGGCTCTACCCGATGGTCTTTCTAACAAAATGAAGGTTTTCCAGGTGAGTTGAAGAGCCCTAAAACTTGAACTATATTTAAAATTTCTTATTTTTTAAAGGCCGTCAACGAATTGCCCGTTTTTCTGAAAGGCGGACCAGTAGACAAGGCTTTGTTTGGCATAACAGCTGGATTGTGCGGCGTAGGCATCCTAAGCTTTATCCATTTGGTCTACACAATGGGTTTCGCCAAGAAGAAGGCGGCTTAAATTAAGTGATAATAATCAAATGTGGCTTTGATTGAAGACAAATTAAACAAAGTTTTCTTGAATTTTTATTTTAATTCAAAAGAACCGCCTTAATAATACTTCAGAAAAATTAATAGAGAAACACTGTTTTCTTAAAAAATATTAGTAGAGCAACACTGTTTTCTGCCACGCAATTGTGAGTTTGGTATTTTAGCCAACTGCGGTCACACTGTTTTTGGGAGGAAAAATAAAAACAAAGAAAATTCATCTTTCCTAACAGAATTTAGAATTTAATATAGTTTTACGCACCAAAAACCAGCCAAATGGAGCCCAACGATGAGGTGGTCGAACGCCAGAAGCTGGTCAACGATGTGGAAACGGAGGAGGAAGCCCAAAGCCAAAGTGCACCCAAATCAGCCACCCCCGCCTCGCCCGCCGTTCCAAATGTAAGATTCCCATTCCCCCGGGAATTCTGATGATTCTGGGTATAGAAACTATAAACTATACACTTTCTTGCAGATCAAAATCAAGGGCATATCCAGTGGGGAGACCACGCGCAGCAGAAACTCCGCCTCCTGCTCCATAGAGCGCACGATATCCGAAAAGGAGAAGGACAACAAAAGTCAGGGACAGGGTCAAGCGGCCACGAAGGTGACATATGTGAATGAGCGGCGGCCACGCCCACAGGCGCATGCGGGGAGTGGCGGCGGAGGAGGAGGCGGCGGCGCTGGAGACGAAAGATTCGAGTTCAAGACCCGGCCACGAAAATTGCTCAAAGGTGGGTGCAGCTATAAAGCCCACTTACTCATCGTTCTCCCCTTTTAATGCCTTTCAGTCGCTGTGGATCGCGGTTTTTGGCTTCAGCTGGGAAGTTAGGTGTTCGGTTTCATATACAGTAGAAACTCCCATTAGGGAACAAGGAATAGATCAATTTTTAGTCAATAATTTTAAAGTTTGCTATTTGCCTTACCTAGAAAAAGATTTTATTAAAATTTAAATTCCTTTACACGATTTTTTAATATTCTAAAAAATATTTGTAAACCCCTTTCAGTTACAATATGCCTCAAAATATTACATCGAACATTTTAGAAATGTTCTTTAAATTAGTTTCGCTAAATTTCTCTGCACAAACCCACCATTTTACTATTGCTAAGCAGTATTCATATATTTTTGTCCTTTTAAATCCATAACCAAATACTCCTTTATTCTTAATTATATTAGAACCAATTTTTCAGTAAACCCCAAATAATTCTCCTAAAAATGATAGCAAACTCGACTAATTGCCGGCTATCACGGCCATCATTGACCTTGGCCAGCCATGACGCACTTTTCCCGTGTCCATATGGCCGGAATACATTACATTCCATTATTCACAGTCCAAATAGACACGTGCCCCGCCCGATACACCCGCACACAGACACTTTGATAGGTGGTTATAATTTCAATAATTGAAATTACAAGCCTCTTGCCGCCCCATGCGAAAAACGGAAAAGTAACAGCCTGTGGCAGGACTTTTCTTTAGCTAGCTGTCAGCTTTCCCAATCGGTTCAGTTCGCACGGCAGTGGCTTTGGTTTAGTTGTGGAGTCTTACAAATAGAGCTTCATTTCTTTTTTATTTGATATAACTATTGGATATTATAAATACCTCTTTTTAAGAATGTGATTTTGTATGTTCGTAATTCTTATCAATGAAGCGTGTTATAGTGATTTTATGTTAGTAATAATACCATTTCTTAGTAATTTAAAATATATTTCTTCTCCTTTCCTTTATTTAGTTTAATACCTTTGTAATTGGTTTCTTTATTTAATTACTTTTGATTTCTTAATTTGTTATATTTTATTATTTGTTTTTCCATATGCCCCATCATTTATTTGTTAACCATGCCATGCTGGGACCAGATCGTGATCCATTGGAACCCACACACAGCAGTGCCAACAGCCTGAATGCAATCACTTTGGTGAGCAGCGAGTGGCTATCACCTGATCCCACAACCACGAACAACAACAACACCACCACCCCCAAGAACAACAATAACAACAACAACGATAGCACAAAACCCAACAATAACAATCAACCAAGTAATAGCAATCAGAACACACCGCGATCGCAGCGTCGAAAGAATGCCCCAGCTTCGATGCCAAATGCCAGTGTCCACAGCGCTAAATTCGACGATCGTCCAATAAAACATCATTCCTTTGTCTCCGAAGTTCCCGATGTGAAGCACATGGAGCGAGCCCTACTAGGATTGCTGGATGATTTTCACTCCGGCAAGCTGAAGGCTTTTGGTGAGTGCAGTTTGAATTTAGTTTTCAGAGATTTCCTGAAGAATTCGCGGCTTAGATAAATGAGTGAAAACTAAGCTGATTTAGTGCAGTTTGAATTTAATGTTCAAAAATTTCCTGAAGAATTCGCGGTTTAGAGAAATGAGTAAAAATTAAGATGATTTCTATGTCAAAACGCGAATTCTTTAGATTCTGCAACAATAATATCAAAACTTTAGCTAACCCTCCTTCACTTTTTCTATTCCCAAGCAGGTTCCGGCTGCACAATGGATCAGATGACCAAGATCCGCGAGCAGCAGGAGAGCCTGGCCAAACTGCATTTCGAGCTGGCTGCCGCCGAGGAGGACTCCCTGGAGCACGGCAACGAGTTCAACACCAACAAGGCGCAGGAGAATATGCTGCAGCTGATGCAGCGCCTGGAACAGCTATCCATTTCCATCGAGCAGCTACAGACAAGCCACACGGGTCTCTGAGATTTGGCCCAGCCGCAGGCCTGGGATCAACGCCTGCTCTGGCTCTGAGCACACCGGAAAAAACCAAGGAAACACCAAAAGGGAAACGAGAACTTTGGGATCTAGGAGTTTTACACGAGATTAGCGACTTTTCAGTAGAGTGGGCGAACTTCTGGGACTTTGTGTAAATATTTTTAGTTGTACGCTTAAGTGGGAGGACTCGATGGGCTTCTTATTGCTAAACTAGTTTAGCAAACTCGCAGTGATTGTGAAACTAATTTAGATTGTCTTCGCATAGCCATAGCAATAGCATTAAATTTTAATAGACGGGTGCCAATAGGTGGTGCTAAAATGATTCATTTACATTATAATTCGATTCGATTTGATAATTGTGTGCTGCAGGCTATCAGGCCTTGATTACGATGAAAAATCTGTTCTGCTTTTTGTTTGTTATAGTTATTTGCAATATATATAAACACCCAATCATATACATGTACGAAACTCGGAACCTATTAAAGTTATCATTTTTATAATGCATATAAAGTGTTTCGCGGAAGCAGTGTTTATTTTCAAGTGACTGGAATTCCCCAAAGGCGATGAATAACACTTAGTTTACTTTTTTATTTGATTGCTTTAGCTATATTTAAATTTATAATGATTTATTTTATGAGAAATTTAAAAAAGTATTTTTAATATTCCAATCACTATTTGTTTGTGGCGCTTGGAGTGTCAGAATTTTTACCAGCTCGGAGTTCTAAGGAAACGGAATTCCCCACAATCGAATCGTACGTCCCCATTCCGCCGGCTATTGGGGGCTGGGGTTCTCAAAGACGCCCACCGCGGATTCCGTTCTGCATGCACAATTTCCATTTCGGGATGGGCATATCAAATGTGAGAAGTGAACCTTTGGACAAGTGCATTCGTACATAGGAAATTTTATTCCGCCGTTGCTGTTTCTTGTGGTTTAATTTATGCATTCGTATTCAGCCGGTGTCCTCTGTTTTTTTTTTTTAGCTGTCATTGCGCAGTCGCAGCCGGGTTATCTCCCCGTTGTTGTTGTTATCCGACTTTAATGTTGGGTTGTTCTTGTTATTTTGTGTTTTTTGTTGGTTTCTTTTCTTCTGTTGTGGCTTGTGATCGGTAAAAGTAATTTGTTGTTCATTCTTTCTTTTTAATGTCGGTGTAAATCCGGGTTTCAAATAACAAGAACTGTGCACGGCGAGAAAGTTTGGGAGTTCATTAGGGAGAAGAACTTTAATGAGTACTGAAAAGAAAGATAAACCATATAACAAAGATCATAACTTTTATGAACTGTTATGATTTTAAATAGAGTTCCTCTATTACATATATATTTTTACATGCATAAGGTTTTGAAAGTTCTTTAAAATCCTATGTTAATTTTTTAAGAACTTAAAGATTTATTTAAAAAAAAAATTAGGAAAATAGTTTCCAAAAAACTATGGAATATATATGTTATATAGAGAAAAGTTTCGAAATATTTTTATTTTATGTTTCTGAAACAAAATTAGGAAATTCTTTTTCCATTTTTGATTAGTTCCTAGAAAACAACAGACTATGGGTAATTTTGGGATGATTATACCTTATCGAAAATCTCTGCCAGTGGACTCCCACTTGTTGTTTGTGGCCACCGTTCCCTTTTTATTATTTTTTCTTTTTCTTTCAACTGGAGGCCGAAACCCTCGGGTTCTTTTGGGCTTCTCTGTTTGGCTAGCGGTTTAGTGCATTCCTTGGGCCTCCGTCTCCATCTCCATCTCCGGTCTCCCACTCTCTAAAGAAATGGAGAAATAAACGCTTGGACCGTCGCATCCGCCACGCTGCATACAAATGCATTTCGACCAGGGCGTGGCATTTGTGCCGGCAACTAACAACTAACAGCCAACCAGCAACACGCAACATCTATCCCAAATTGCTGACACAAGTGCCACTGCCACCGCCACTTCCACTCATCCTCGATGGATCCACGTTCCATCACGTGCTGGGAGTGGGTGGGGGATCGGGATCCCATCCCGTCGGAGGGATTGGACATGGAAATGGGGAATATCCGCGGCGTTCTTAACCCAGGCAAGGCCCTACCCTACACTTTGAAAAATTATTTGATGTTTAATGATTTATTAATTATTTTAAAATCCAGAGTGTAGATTATTTGTATTAAACCAAGGTCGATTTATAAGAAATTAAAGACATTCAATTTAAGGAATAAAATATACATTTAAAAAAAAATTTTAATACAAATGATTGAACTCTGATTTTATGAATCATAATTTTAAATGGTTCTTGTTGATTATCAGTTTTTCTTAATAATATTATTTTTAATTAACTTAATATGGAAGTTAAAAAAATGGCATTCTGATAACCTTTTTTTCGGGTTACGATTGGTTATATGATTTATTTTACTGTCCAGTTTGGAGTATATTTTTTCTAAGTACCGAATGCGACAAGTGGCTGTTTACTGAGGTGGGTGCAACAGGGGATCCGATTCGTGTCGCATCACATCGAATCGGATTGGGATCGTTGGCAGTTCATCGAATCGAGTGTTATGTAAAGACGGCAACCGAAAGAAGTCATTAAATATGTGAAGCGCATATCAAATTTCGTATGAATTGAACTTACTTGGCTTGGTCACATGAGAATTTGATGAACTGCCAAGCGGACAAAGAGTCGTTGATACCTGTTTCGGGGCGTTGGAGGAGGTGGAGTTGGAGTTGGGGATGGTAAGGGTGGGCAGGAGCAACACTTGTTGCCCGGGCAATCCGATCCGATATGCCGACGTCGTCGGGGCACTTCATTAACCTGAACTCTGACTCCGACAAGGAACTTTGCACTCACAGAAAATATGTCATAAATATATCAGCATAATGGTGAAAGTTCATTATAAAACATGGAGAAATATGGAAGATATTGGTATTCAGAATATTAATCGATGGATTGCCTTCGGTAACAAGTTTATTTTCCAAAATATTCGGATTTCTAAACTTATTTTGATGGTATATTATTTTTATTTAAATTTTTAATCGAGGGATTGCATTTGGTAACACGTATATTTTCAAAAATATTGGGTTTTCCAAATTTATTTTGATAGAATAGGATTTTATTTTAATAATGTTTAGTACAGTTCTTTTCGATTTTAACAATATCTTAATAATATCATATCATAACTATACAATATATAAACATTAAAAGTTAAAGTTAACAGAAATATTTTAAAATGATATATGATATTTTATAGGGTTCTTATTAAATACAATATATTTAAAACTTACAACAAATTGAAAAGACCCCTTCTTTATATTATTTCTTAGGAGTTTGGAATACGGAATATTTTCTTAGTGTTTCCTACCTTTTTGAGCATTTTGCTTAAAGTCTGTCCCAGCTCCAGTGGCTGTCTGGACCCTTAATCCTTGCCCACCCAAGAACACAGAGGCAGCTGCTCTGGCTGTGCGGAAATTACGTTGCTGATGAGCAGCTCTGGAAAAGCGGAAGACGCACGAAGCTTTTCCACCTACAGGAAGTGCGACAAAATTCAAACAGACTCTGGTCTCCACTCCCCTCGTGCCCTCCATCCTCCATCCTGCATCCTGCATCCTGCTGGCAAAGCGGAAGCAAAAAGAGAAGAGTGAAAGGAGGAGGTGGAAGAGGAGGAGGAATGGAATGGGTGGTGGGTCAGTGGGTGGACCTGTGACAGCTCTGGGCTGGCATAAATGCGCACACGGCGCAAGGCAAAAAGTTTCCTGGCAGGAGCCAGGACTCCCAAAGAGGAAGTGACTAGTGGGTGGGATGGGTTTGAGTTGCCAGTGGGTGGCTGGGCTTTTGGGTTTGTTATCGGCATTCCCCTTCGGCTGAAACGGCGGGGGCGAGGGCGGGCTGAGGGCGACGTACTTTATTTCCTGAAAATGTCCTCGAAAATATGAACATTATATCCCGGAAACGGAAGCTGCAGCATTTGCAAGGAAGTGACGCAAGGGGCAGGAAACACCCAGCTACCCATAGCCACCCAAAATACCAACCCGCCCACAGAGCACAAAACATTTCGTGGACATGGACATGAATGTGGATTTGGATGGGTTGATTAAAGCGGGTAAACAGCAGCGACAGGAGACCAGGACGACAACGAGAACGAGGACGAGCGCCAGGACACCGTTGAAATGTACACACCAGTGAAACGGGCCACGACACAGGACGTTGGCACAGGCGAAAAAACAAATACATTGGTCACTCAGTCAGGTTACAATATAAATATATCAATAAATATTAATGCACGAAAAACGGACATTAAATAATAAATACTTCTTTAAAATTTTTATTACTATATTACTACTTAGTTATAAAAAGAAAAAAAGAAAAGTAAAAAAGAAATATTTGTTTCGACCGTGACAGGACTCGAACCTGCAATCTTCGGATCCGAAGTCCGACGCCTTATCCATTAGGCCACACGGTCACTTGAAAATGCTTGTTCAAAATGTTCTATTACAGCAGATTAACATTGCTGTTATCAGGAACTACAACAACAATAAATTGAGCTTAGTATTTTCTATTGTGCAATTTAGGCAATAGAAGTAAACGTTTTAAAAACATTAAACTATGCTTAAATGACATAAAAACCCAAATAAAATTATACAAAATATTTAATAAATATTAAAATTAAGTTAATAATAATAATTACAATATCTTATAAATATTTAAGCTTATTAACGTTTTAGAACATCGAATTTAAAAAATGTAAATTATTTTTAATAGGAATTTAATAAATCACAGAATTTAAAAACTTTATTTTCTGTTAATTATCAAATTTATAGAGATTTAAAATATAAAGCGTTATATTCTATTTAACAGGAATCTTACAGAACACGGATCCTTGAAAAATATTATTAAATGATATTGAATTCCCAAAATTGTTTTTTAAATGTATGTTTATTTACCTTTATCATTTTTAATCTCCTGAAAAGATATCGTTGATTTCTTTCCGTGTTGGTCACAGATGTGAGCCAGGAGAGTGCGGAGGCGAGTTGGACATCTGACTACGTTGTCGCATCCTGCAGGAAGCGTGACGTTGCCGCCGGCAGCTGCGGCTCCCCCTTCGTCCATTTGCCATTTCCCATTTCCACTCTCTGGCCCCCGGAAAATGGCAAACGGAATGCGAGAGGCAGGAGGAGCCTTTACGTCAAGGAAATGACGGAAGCAGCCTCAGCAGCTGAATCCTCCTCCATCGTCTCAGCTGCTCCGGACTGCATCTCCGGAATATGGACACAGGACCCGGGGGAACATCCTTAGAGAGAGCGCAGGACTCTGCTTTGGCAGGAAATCATCGTCCCATGGGACGTAAATTAAATTCCATGCAAAGTTAATTTTTCTCACCCACCCAGAGAGAGAGAGCAGTGAATCAGGAGGAGCTTAGTCCGGATTCCGGAATCTGGCCCTGGTGAAGTAGTTCCATTTCCGCAAAGTGGGGGGGTTGAGGGACTTATGCTTGGGGTATAGATATGGGAGAACTTTATAAATCAACGTAAACTTTGTCATCGCCGGTCATG